TATTAAAATGACACCCACCCCAAACTATTTGGTAGTTCAGTGAACCACAAAATGTTTGATCAAGCCGACTCCGGTCCTTCGTACACACACACACAGTTCGATATGTTATCGCTAGCGTTAGGGAAACGTATCGTTTTTTAAAACCAACGTAATGTGCACTCGAGTTCGAGTAAATTTTAAGTTTACACCGCAGTGTTCGATGTTCATACGAATATCGAGTTGGCCAAATAGGATTATGAAATATAACCGACAGACCGTGACGCGTAACGTTAAAACGCCGTGTACACGCGTAAAGTGCATCTCACGTCTGCTTCAAAGGAATATATTATTTGAAAACACGCGTCTCTCTCCTCGGCGAAACGCGGTCGGTGCGGAAAACGAAATATAAATAAACGACCTGCTGCTGCCGTTGCAGCGGCGGCAGAGTTCAATTAGACGACGACCGCGGCGGTGGTTGTCAACGACCGTTATCGTGTGGTCGCGTCCTCTGCCATTCTGTTGTCGGATCAACCGCGCGCGCGGCGGTCAATCGGGAGGTCGTCCCTCGACGACTATGACGAAGATTTAGAACGAAGGACGTACGGTTACGAACGCGGCGTGTATTTCACAATCACGCCGCCGACGACGACAACGACTCGTGTGTTTTTTCATCATTACTTTTGTGTTTCTTTAAATAAAGTACACCCGACCGCGGACATTTGCATACACTAACTCTACTGTTGCGCTACACGCGCACGCATGCCACGGACATGTATACAGCTGCTGCTGCCACGTGTGCGCGTGTGTGCGTGCGCGCTCGAAAGGAGCGGAAAGGAGCCGGGTGGTTTTGACCGAGTGCGGGCGGTGGCGGAGGACCTGCGCGCCGCACTGTTCGCCATGTAAGGATTGACGTGCCGCCACCGGGCGTTTTAGCATTATTTACACACGACACACACCGGGGGCTTTGCCCTAATTAACTCCCGAGATCTATGTACGCACGCGTAACACAGTCGTCGTCCGATGTTGGGCGCTGGCAACAATAAAACGCATACGGCTATTAAACGAACACGCGCGTCCATAACGTATTTCGTCGACCGGCGCTTTGTATTAGCCGCGCGCGCCGCCGGTCGAACGCAAATGTTTTGTAAACGTACGCGAGGAAAAGTAAAAGCGGATGACGCGCCGCACCGGAACGGTCGGGCACCGCGAGGTCCTTAATGCGCATCCTCGCGCCGCGTGAAAGGTCCGTTTGCAAACACGTATCTTCGAACCGCGGCGTGTTATTGTTGCGAGGTGAAAACACCGAGCACCGGATTTCGTTGCCCGACGATCGGAACGACAAAAAAAAAAAAAAAAATGCAAGTATAATTAAACGTCTATTATTGCTGCTGCTGTCTGCGGCCGCGGACCGATTGTGATGTAACCGCCGGAGACGAGAAGAGTTTATTGCACCAGAAAAGAAAAAAAAATCCGTCCGACGCGTAGAAATTGAACTGTTTGGACCGCTGGTTCGGGTGAAATCGGATTACCTTCCCTACTCCCGAGCAAGTACGCCTAATAATGTTTTACGGTACCGACTGTTACGGTACGAGTGTACACGTCGTCGCAGTCGTTTGCAACGCATATGGTTTACATATTTGCTCGGTGTAATGGAACCGTGAGCGTGTACGTAGTAGCGTATTATAATGATATAGGCATTACGGCCATATATAGGTAGATTGCGAGTGGGCGGGGCGGGGCAAGCGCTGTTGCTCAGCGGTAAAAGCAAAATTGTTGTTAATATAATATAATTATTATTCGAAGAAAGAAAAACCATACACGGTTTATCAAACTCAGCTGCGACGGTACGCATAATGCGTAATGTATTATTAAAACAATAAAGTCGACGCCCGCAAAGATCGGAAAGTAAACGGTCCGCCGGTGGTTCGCGACGCAATACGTTTGGTATTAACAGCACTGCGCATAATACGGGTGTAAAAATATTTACCGTCCAACGGTGTACTGGACACGCGTGTGATAATTAGTAAGAAATCGCGCGATAAACGTTAGGAAATCATAACAATAAAAATAAAGAATAAATAAAAACCAAGTACCGTCTGACACGGAGTGCGAAAGTAAAACAACGAGGTAAGGTCGAGTTTACGCACGACGGACTATAATTCATATTTTCGGATACTTTATTTTTTCACCGAAAGTGTTGTGAGCGCGCTATGCGCACGCGATATATATTATTATTATTATACCGATCGCCTGACGCGCACACAGCCTGTCCGTTATATATCACGTGTACCTGTGTGCGCGCGTCCGTGTGTGTGTGTGTGTGTGTGTACATAAGTCCTCCGTAAGTCGTATTATTATATGCGGCGCAGCAGTGCGCTCCCATTATATGTAAATTCGGTCGGCAGCAACTACCGGTGAAGGGACGGGAGGCGTCGCGGGCCTGGGTGAGGAGGATGTGTGTCGAGGGTTAACCGATATATAGCTGCAGTAAATTTCAATATATTATAAATACTGTAATAATAATATGTAATATTGTAGTGCGCGTATGGGATAAAAGAAAAAAAAAACCCGTTCAGCGTACAAGAAGCCGACCCCGAATGGTGCGGCGGTGTTGACACGACGAGACAAATTTCAACGACCGTACCAGACCCCGCTTGCCATAACGCGACGATCGTACATAAATAACGATTAAACACACACGGGCGCGCGTCTCGAGCCGAGAAAGATTTTTGATATCCTTAAACCGTTTTCGATTCCCCAGCGCACGCGTACGCACAACTTTACGTTTCCGAAAACCGTTTGGCGTCGAGGGTCTGCCGAACGCAACACGTTCAACGTATGCAAATCGCGTGCGTTCGATTGGCCGGTTTTGACGGGCGCGACGAACGCGCTCGCCGAAGGGACGAACCGGTCGCGCGTTTACCTACGGGGGACGGAGAACAAAAAAAAACGATAAAACGGCAAGCGTTTGCGGGGAATAGGGGACCCCGCCGAACGTCGTCGAACATGGCCACTGCACGCGTTTACAACCGCCCCACACCCCCCGGACAGGGACACCGGTGGGTCGCGCCGCGGCAGCAGCTGTCGTCCCTCGTTCGTTTTTCACGCAGCTTTCCCACAGCCGCCGAGTTAAATAATATCATACTGCAGGGGACGGTGCGAGACGCGCCCCGAGAAACTACACGCCGTGACGGTACGCATAAATACGCACGTAAATATATTATATTCGCTCTTTCGTAAACAATATGTAGTCGGGTTCTACGCGCGCACGCGGTGGACGACTGGTATGTACACACCGTTCGGTGGAAGGAAAAATCAATATGCACACGAAGGCGGCTCCGGTGACGGGGGTTGCGGAGGGCAACGAATACGTCGGTGGAGGCGCAGGAGGTTAAAATCATTGATTTCGTCGAACGCGCGCGAGCGATGATTACGTAGGTACTTTTACTTTTTTTTTTTTTTTTGCCTACGGTTTATTTTTTCCATTTCCGTGGTTTTGTATTTTTACGCGTATTCCTACGAGTGTGTGCGAGCGCGTATGTCCACCCTCCGCGCAAACAACACTACTCCTCGGCGGCACCGTGGAAAGCAAAAAAAAAAAAAAAAAAACATTAATGAAACCCAGTTTGGTCGATACGCCGGGCCACGTCGAGGTATCCGCCCGCAACCGTTTTTTTTTTTTTTTTTAACGCAACGTATAAAGGTATAAACGATGTGAACTCGAAAAAAGGATACTGCGAGGGATACGTTATTATTTAACAGTGACAGACTGACATCCGAGTGGCGCTCGATCGGCATGAAAGAAATCGCTCTGACGGGTTCCACCGAAGCGTTTATGTAATTCAACGCAACACAATAACGCATCGAAGACGAGATATCCTATGTACACGCGCGTCTCGTTAGTCGGACGACAAGTGCGGAATTTACAAACGGCCCTCGGAAAACGGTAAAAACTGCGAAACGGCCATTTCCGTGCGACAGCACGATGTCGATTTTCTTGCTCCGCGCATACAAAACGATACGTTTCCCTCCGTTCGCGGAACCCGGTCGCTGTTGAACATCATTTCTGTCATCGCTCTACTCGTATCGAACGCGGTTTCGTAACACGCCGGCGGTTTCGCCCGCAAAACGTGTACGAGTACAATATACGTTCGATCCTGCGGTAGAAATGGAATCGTAAAGCAACATATTAGACACGTGTTAAATGGATGTCGGACGAGTTATTCGGAACGAGCGCGCGGCCACGTAGTCGATAATTTATTCATAAATTCCACGTATAGGTGCACGACGTACACGGAAAACAATTACGAATACGTATACCGTATGAATCGGGCGTGCGTGCGCGTTAAGAATATACGTTTCATGTTCTCGGTACGAAAAGCTGGAAATCAGCAAATCCGAACCGCGTTGGTTTTCGTTCGGCGCGCCAAACGCAAAACTATTACGACGAGCCGAATTCGCGTTTAACGGGCAGGAGAAAAATACATTATGACGTGATAATACATCGGCCCGCGGGTACTGCTCGCGTACTGTGTTGTAAACGAAAACCGTGATGGACGACCTTCATTACGGGCTCGCGGGCCGATCGCAGGGGCAAAGGGCGGATTCCCGTAGAATTTCGTCAACTGCGGCGCGGCGTCGTCATAACGTTACAATACGCAACGGTCCGACGAAACGCATTTTAAACGCAAAACCTGATACCGCACGATATCTTCGCGCTCGCTTACGTATTCATTTTTTTTTTATATTTTTCAAGTCTCTTTCGCGACTAAATTCCAACGCGATTTCTCGGGCTCCGGGGTAATGCTTACGTACACGCGCGTGTATATATTACTCGTGTAAATACGAGTATATAAGGTTATATATACCACACACACACATATATATATATATATATATATATATGACCACATGGTATAGAACAATAATTTCATTGTGCGCACACGCTTGCACACGCTTGCACTCGCGCGCGTATAATATAACGAACGCCAAAAGCGAACAATGGTGGCGATATTACTCACCAGACGTCTCTTGGGCTTAATCAGCGGCCGGTTTTGCCCGTTCATTTTATAGTAGAGGCCACACGCATTACACAGGTAGTGTCCGGTGCCGTCTCTCCTCCACAACGGAGTCGACGTGGCTCCGCAGTTCACGCACTCTCGTCCTTCTGCAACATTTATAAACACACGACGTGTTACACATGCGCGCTACGGTTAAATTTATTCGCATAAATATTATTGTATCGATCAGCATTTACTAATTAGGACGACGACCGAAAGAGATGCCCCCGAAATGTGAACGCACGCTGTCGACCGGGTAATCATCCGAAGTCGAAAAATTAATATTAGATAAAAAGAAAAAAAAACGCCCCTCTCGTTCGTTATCGTATAATAGCAACGTTGTTCATGGTGATGAAATTGAAAAAAAAAATCGCGATAACATTCGGATTATCGCACTTCTCCGAACAAACCAAGTGTTCATCATACGATTTAACAGTGGATCCGAAATTTATTGTTCGTCGCCGAGTGATCGGGAACATTTCGATTAAAAATCGGAGAAGAAAATCGCAAGGAATAGACGTGCCTATCCGGCAAAAAATGTAGATTTACGTTAAACACATATGTTTAAATCGACCGGTACACGACGTTATGGTCGCAGAACAATGTTAAGTTATTTGTTAAAACCGCGGATTAATACGAATGTAAAGGTATGATACGTGTACGAACAGGATGTCTAACTGGAGTTCACTAATTTTAAACGACCCCATCACGAGTACTGTGATGAACACTCCAAGCTGACAAACCGTTGCGGGACACTGCCACATTAACACGTGTATCGAATACGGTACGGTTGCGATTTATTTCACATTTACGCGTCTAAACCGATATAAAACATTAGATTGTAATGCGATAAGTTATTGGACTGTAGAATGTACGATTAGTAATTACGACGAAACGGATTTTTTTTTTTTAATTTTGTTGTGCAGCCGAAAGAATCGCAACGATTGATCCGATACGTGTATATAGTACACGTGCTTATTTCGCAACCATACACAATACACTATTATACGATATTATTGTTAGCGTTGTAGAAACAATTCGACAGCGCGTTTTACCATTCGGAGGGACCTCCTCGGGTGACGTGGCGGTCGCATCTCGCGACTAACGAGAATATAATAATTATTATGTACGCAATAACGCGAAACGGTTGTGTTGAATGCATATGCGTTTAATCGATTGATCGAGCGATGAATAAAAAAGAAAAATTTACAGTTTCACCACAGCTCGCGGGGTATACTGTACACCAATATTTATCGGTACGTACATAATATTATTTTTTAGTCGCGCGACACCGGACCACGGCCAGAAGTGGACGATTCGTACACAGCGTATTACGCACACGGTACATACAATACACCTGGGATCGCTGTAGCGATGTCAACGGATTATTATTATAATAATAATCATGGATTGCGACGACGCATGGGAGTAGTTTCGGCGCGCGCGATCAAAAGTCAAAAAAAAAAAAAAAAATGTAGTTTTTTAATTACATCGCCCAAAAAGGTGTGCCGCGCTATTATCGAGAGAACAAAAACGTTTAACCACACGTCGCGCGCGCGCTGCGGCTTTATCGAACGTTCGCAGTGTGAAAGTCGCGAGGAAAAGAAAAAACCAAAAAAAAATCATACATTCAACGACCTCGTCTCGCACGCGTATCATCGCTCGGCGGGTATTGTACGTCATTACAATATGATGCACGAGGAACCGTTTACGCGGTGACATCGTTTGACGGCGTGTGCTTGCGAACGTATCGCGAATCCAGGAAAAAAAAACATTGTCGATAAAGATTATGCGCAGCGCGTCGGAAGCAGACGGAACGATCACTCCGAGTGGACGACGGCGCTTCTGTGGTGACCGCCGAAAATCCCTTTTCCGCGTGCCCGCCTTGTTCGCCCGTTCGATCGCGTATTTATCGTACCGCAGTGGGTTGATAACACGTTGGATTTCGCGTTGTAAGTGGAGTGTTTCTTTTTTCCTTTCCGAATTAATAGCCACTACACGCGCGTATACACCCGGCCATTATCTCGTCCCGGCATCACGAACCGTTCTCGCTGTACGGGTACACGGCGCGCGCGTACGCACGCACGAATGTTGGTGTAATTACGCGCGCAACGTATGCGTATGTTTATTTTTTAATATCCTCGCCTTTTCTGTGGCGGAATAGGTACGTCGTACGGTACAGTGGGAGAGAGAGAGAGAGAGAACGAGAAGTACGGTCGATAGTTGTACGCTCCCCGCGCGCGCGTTGTTCTACGTCGTCATTCTTAAACACCGCAATCTCGTTTCGACGAACTTTAGCACTACTACTCCGGAGTGCAATACGTGGTTGGCGCGACTACCAAAAAAAAAAAAAAACAATAATAATATCTAATAACGAAAAAGAATAGAAAAAAAAAAAAAAAATACAAAAAAATAATAGGTGTACAACGACCGTGTGCAGTTCGTGATGCGTGGGCACTAGAAAACGACCGTCGGTATGTAAATTTCACCGCTAATTAGACTGTAGCGTATCATTACCGGAATGACCGTTGAAATACGCGTACACACATACGCGCACAAAAACGTACACGTATACGTGTACTCACGTGTAGGCAATAGTCACTGCTGGCACGAAAAATATTATACGCGCGCGTAATAACCCCGCGCTCGCGTATGTTTACTTTTCACTCGAGTATTTGTATTTTTTATTTTTATCTCTTCTGTATTATTATTATTATTATTATTATTTTTTTTTTCTCGCGAAACGTATAGGTACGGCGCGAGGGTCGTCGTTGTTATATTAGCTGTCAACCGAGTTTTGTACACGAGGTCCATTGTGTGCGCTCGCGCAGTTGTATTAAGGAGAAAAGGTTTTATTTTCAATCTTCTTAAAAGATACATATATACATATCATGCGTATACCCGGCTCCAAACCCTCTTTAGGAATTGATATTTTTTCCTCTCTTTATATACGTACACACGGGAGCAACTGGTCATTCGGAAAATTGGGTTTTAACCGATCGAATCGTCTACATGTATATATATGTTTTTTATTTATATATACCCGTACACGTATTTAAAGATCAGCCGTCCTGCGAACGGCACGAAAAAATCCCTTATCGCACCCCTTACGCGGGCGCGTATCGTTCGATCGTTCGAAATTAGTTTAATTTAAAGAAAACGGCTGATCCGATTTTTGTTCATAACATTCAGACTGAATTTAAAAAAAAAAAAATAAAAAATAAACCGAGTCGTGTTTGGACAAAGAAAATCGGGGGGGGGGGGGGGGGGAATCGTCGTCTGAAAAATCGTAAAACGTCGATGGCCGCGCAGTCAACACACGCTGCAGCAACGGTGTACGTTAGGAGGGGGAGGATATTTAACATACACTCGGGGGAAATCGATGGTACGACGTGACGAAATATCGAAAACGACGACATTTCGCCCCGCACGCAAACGGCGAAAATGTCGAGCGCGGACCCGAAGGCACGTCGAAACGGCCGAAGGGGACTCGACGACTTTAGGTGTTTGGTTCTCGTTTCCGATACGCAATACGTCGTAGCCGGCGCAACGTTCGTTTTCGCAATAATCGTTACGCACGCGTAGACCGATCGCCGCGCGTGTCACCGTCTTCTCCCCGCAGGAAACGGATCTGAGCATCACGTACGCACGTTTACAGGTAGATGCACGCGCGTGCGCGCGACCGTTGTAAACTCCGGGCCAAGGACTCATTTGAACCAAAACTCAAGTCGAGGTCGTTTCAATTTTTCCATTTATTTATTTTTTTTTTCCACATGCATGCGCGCGCGAACTTAACCCAGTTACATATTAAAAGCGTATTGTATGTACTGTATGTACCCACTGCGTGAGAGGGATTATTGTATTAACGCCGGGTACGCGCGCGTATAACGTTAGCGTACGCCGTGCATCAATAAATTATAATTATATTAGTACACACGAGATTAAATCGTGTACGAAGAGAGCGAAGAAAAATAACACGTAATGATATAACAAATGTGTACTGTTACATTATTATCGTTATAATATTTTGTTAGCGAAATATACATGTAAGGCAAATACGCAAGCGAAACACCCCTCAACCAAACGCCATAAGTGTGTTGTTACATCATAGGTGTGTACAGAAATATACTGCGGTGCGCGAAGAAAAAGAAAAAAATTGATATTTTATGATATCGTGCAAAAGAAGCGTAAGAGTATCGTATTTTATGCATTATATGAAACGTACGAAGAGGTCCGGGTGCTGGGCATAGGAGGGAAAGGGGGTCGGGTACACAGAAATTATTATCGTTGTCGGTAGGCGAACGGGAAAAAAGTCGAATCGCGAGAACCGTGAATCCATTATATCATAGTATTTTATACATTGTGTTATTTATGTTGTGTTTGTGTTGTTATAACGTCGGCGAATCGTTGTACGCGGTCAGTTGGTCGGTCCGTCGGTCGGTCGGTCGGTCGGCGTGTATTACCAGCTGTACACACCGCACAATATGGCGGCTGTGCCGGTGTCGCGTCGTCGCGCGTTGAAGTAACTAATGTAAGTCAAACGGAAGAATAATAAACAAGTATAAGGTAATGAAAATAAAAAAATAAACGTACAGTCGGCGTACGGTCATAAATTATGTATATGAATACGTGCAAGTGTAGGTAATAATATTTATCCGCGTACAATGCGATGGCGACGAGAGTACGAGCACCGTCACGACCGTCGCCGCCGCCGTATGTGTATGATATATTGTTGGTTAGAACATGGATGGAGGACTGGAGCGCATAAAAATGACGTACGACACTAATTGGCAAATCGTCAAATCGTTTTCCAAAGATCCTTCGAATTCTTCGGGAAAAGGCTCCGGGACAAAAGTGTCTTGAGCGTGCAGTACGCGGGAAACGACGTGTTTCCGAAAGAGAAACCGACGGAAAAGCGTCTCGCCAAGAGTGCTTGGTCGGAACGCGGATTCGATAAGAGAAAAAAAAAACGGGAAAATCAGCCGATAGCAGCCAGAGATCAATTACAAACAAAAATGTAGGCACGAGTAAAAAATTGTTGTTCAACGACCGGTAACGGTAAACACTCGCAGCAGTGATGTAGTTATGTTCATACATCGTAACCTAATATACCTAGCAGCTTGTGTCTATATAACGATCGTAATAATATGACCTTGACAAATCTATCGGGTTGATGACATGGCGCGCAGGCATCGTCGAAAGAATACATTTTATCGATACGTCCGAGAGGTGTTCGGTTCAACGAAAAACGATATTGTTCGAAAAACGTTCGTAAGATGGACGAATTTCCGAAACGCGTGTAACACGTGCCGTACGGCACACGACGACCAGTGGTAATCTCGAGATTTTATTCAACATAAATACTGTACCGAGTAATAACGTGACGGTTTGCCTCAGAGACGCGGACGAAAACAATACTAAACCGAGTCATCGTACGGAGGAAGACAAATACGTTTGCGTTGTCGACATTACATTACATTTCGACGGTAGACGGAGTTCATGTTTGGTACGGCCGTTGAAATTTGTATTCGATTTTTATCGGTCTGAACGCGTTGAACGAACACGGCAAGAGTTTAGTAGACGTCCGTAAGAGTACGCACAATCAGTGTACCCATATATATGTTATTATTATAGCCATAACGCTGTGCAAAACAAACAAGACGAACAATTAACGCTCCGGGACACGATAAGATTTTATCGTCAAAACGAACTATCGCGTTTTTTGGACAACAATAGGTATTGTATTACGGGTGTACGAAAGGGGTTATAATATTTCTCGAGGAACTTTTGAGCCCGGGCAGGGGACGGCGCGAGACGAAAACGATCACGGTACGTTTTCGGAGCACACAAAGTGCGCAAATCTAACGAACGTGTACGCGGATTTCATTCGATGCGTTCGATATTCGTACGAACCGCAACACCGCGTAGGACGGTGTGCGAATTGAAATGAAAAATTGAAGCACGCGGCGACCGCGCGAGAATGCGTCAAAATAATTGTCGCTTCGACCGAACGACCGAAACGTTTTACGCTCGAAAGTCGCTCCTGCATTTCATGGTATACGGACAATACCGCTGGTTAATAATCTACGCGTCATGACGAAAAATGAAAACGATATGAAATCGTACGCGCGACATTCAGTGTTCGCTACGTCGCACGGGAAGTTGTGCAACGCGAACTAAACGCGCTACGTGCAATATTATAGTCGCGCCCGTTGTCGACAGTGCTTGGCTTGAGGGGGACGGAGTACCCTTAGTAGTTTTTAGAAATTCTAGCGTCCCCTCGTTGTTATTACGTTATAATTATAACGTTAAACAAGTATTGGGGACGCTGTTTTCCGTAAAGTAAACAGAGTCCCCGTTCTTTAATTTTGCAAAGTCCAGCATTGGTTGTCGTACGAAATCGCGCGAGTGCGCGGCAACGATCGAGCAGAAAAAAACGTCGGGAGTGCAATTAAGTCAGAACCGCGATAATGCGTCACCAGTGAAACGGGGCGCAGGTTAGTCGTGTCATGTCAGAAGTACAGTAATTCGTTCGAGTGCCCGCTGTGCGCTTAGTGACGGTGTACGGTTTAAGTTAACGGAGTAAGTCGGTAAGTAAGTTTACCGTGTGTGTAGTAGACCTATGGAAAATAATGTTGGTAAGTTAGTTTACTGTGTACGTGGCAGACCTATGGCGAATAATGTTGTAATGTTCGTGAACCGCAAACGTTATCGGTCAGTTTGTGCGTATTGCGGTGGTAACGGAGCGACGGTGAAACCGGCTTCAGTCATCGTTAACTTCTGATGGACCGTCGAATTGGCTTCCGCGAACATAGGAAACGCACACTGTAAGCTCGTATTAAAAACGGACGGTTCGAACTCGGTTAAGCATTGGAACTCGTAACCGTACCGTTGAAAGTCGACCGATCATAATTTACCTGTAAAGAAAACGTGGAGAAAAAGCGTTCGGTCGTAAACGCGGAACAAAGCGTTTGCGAACGACTAAGCATTTTTAGCTGTCGGAAGAATAGACGAACACTGGTCAAGCGTTGGACCGCGAGAACCTGAAGTTTCCGAACAAATCAACGGTACGTCGTCGACAGACATTATCGTTCGGTCGAAACACGATTCGAATGTAAGGGTAAGGTAAACAAAAAAAAAAAAAACAAATCAAAACCGAGCGATTGACAGCAACCGTACGGTTAAATGTCACGAAACGGTTGCAGGAGAAATGGTTAGCGGAAGCGCCGAAGAGTGAGATAGAGAAAATATATTAGTGTGTTGTTAGTGTGTACAGAAAAGGTTAACTATAGTCTAGTGTTAGATTATTATTGTTAGCGTATACGATAAATGCACATGGTACGATGTTAGGGGGGGGGGGGGCTCTTACCGGCGCTTGTTCTAGACTTATTTCTGGACGACGAGGAAGAAGAGTTTTTCATGGCGTTGTTGCCGGGCGAATGGCATGAGGACGAGGGGTGTTTTGCGGGCGAGAACACGGCGGGCGCGATTGCCGAATGGTGGTGATGGTGGTGGTGATACGGGTAATGGGTGTAGGACGACGACGAGGGAGCAGCGGTGCCGGCGGTCGGTTCGTGTTGACCGACCCCGCCGCCGCCACCACCGCCACCACCACCGCCACCGCCGAGATGGTGGTGATGGTTCAGGTGGTACGCGTTAAACGAGGACGAAGCGGATGTCGAGCTGCCGGGCGACGTGGCGCCGCTCGACGACGAGGTACCTTCGCGCTGTTTGGACGACGAGCCCCCGGCCACCAGCATCGACGGCTTCACGTCCTGGACGCCGCCTCCTCCTCCACCGCCGCCGCCACCGCCACCACCGCATCCCTGATGGTTGTCCGGGTGCAGAAAAACGCCCATGGACGCTATCGAGTAAGCGGCGGCCGCGGCGGCCGCGGCAGCCGCGCTGTTCGATGACGACGACGACGACGAACTCGTGGCCGTCGTCGTGGTGGTGGTCATCGAGTCGGGCGTGCTGTCCTTGGGCGGCGTCGGTGGGAACGTGAACATCGGATGCCCGTTGCCACCGTTGTTACCTCCTCCTCCTCCTCCTCCTCCGCCACCGCCACCTCCGGAGTGCTGCATATCCTTCGAAGAGGATGCCACGGCCGACGGCGAGTCGTCCTGCACCGTCGGGGACGATGAGTACCAGCCGCCGCCGGGGGACGACGATTGCATTTTGGTGTCCAACTGGTTGTTGCCATTGTTGTTATTGTTGTTGTTGTTGTTATTGTTGTTGTTGTTGTTCATGCCGCCGCCGTTGAGCCATGCGGCCGCCGGATGAGAAAAGTGAGACGGCCTGCACATGTTTCTCGTCGGTCCTGCAACACGAAAAACGCGCGTGTGAAACAATTTGTAAAATATGATTTAAATAATAATAATAAGTATTTTGTGCACCATGTATCGCGCGATACGGAAACTACCACGAAGAAGGAAAAACAAGCTGAGAGACTTGACATGATTTCCAAAAAAAAAAAAACCTAAGAACAATGTTTCGATAGAAATATCGGTAATTTCGACAAAGAATTTCAATATTACACACAACCGTACGGCATTATCGTATGTGTTTTATTTATAGGTTTACCAGTAATAAAGTGAATTTACATAATATTATAATCGCTCAAGTGCACGGAACGCGGGGGAGGGGCGCACGTGCGTTTACAAGCTCGTTTTAAACCATCGTTGTTTTAGGTTTTCTAATCTTTCGCGATTTAACGTATCGACATTTTTTAACGAAGGTGTACGTCTCGTTTAGTCGCGCACTCTCAAGACGCCAATATCATAATAGGCATGTATATGCGCGCGCGCACAGTGGGTACTCAATCGTTTCGAATTAAGTCTACAATTTGTTGTTTATCGCCGGATAAGTATTTATGAACCGTATGTACGGTATAATATATAAGACACGCGCAACGACGTAATTTATGTATGTATATGTCCGGCGCGACACGGTCGAGACTCAATCGCGAAGGTGCGGCGGGTAGCCTCGGGATCTCACTCACTCACTCATTCACTCTCTCTCTCTCTCTCTCTCTCTCTCTCTCTCTCTTTGCCTCCGTCCCGTTTCAACGCTGCAGTGTCCTGCGCAAGTTTATGCATCCCCCTCTTTCCGTGTCTGTCCTCGATGAACGGCCGCTGCTGGTCCGTACCTTTGTAGGTGTGTTATATGTATAGAGTAGCTTGTACTTGTCAATAATACATCAGCGGCAACAGCAGCAGCACTGCGTGTGTTACGACGTTATCGGTTATTATTATTATTATTTTTTTTTCTTCCACTTAGCTGAAATCGATTTATCGATGGCAATGCCCCTCTCGTAATTGTTACACGACATTCACACACGCCGTTACGTAACGACAACACTTCGGTACGCGAACGCAAGACAGGAGAGGGGCACGTAACTGGAAGTATGTTTAGCATTCCGGACGGCCGGAAATTTCACGCGCTCCAAACAATTCGGTGTGATATATCAAGTTTTGCGTTGTCAACGGGTTCGGAGAAAATCCGCTGCGCCGTACAACACGTGTTTCGCGTGGTCACCGCGAGTCCCGGGAGGCGAGAAGAAAAAGAAAACGGTCCGACGACAACAACGCTCGTGAAAAACGCGGTGCGCTAATTGTGTGCACGCAGACCTGTGCGTACGCGCGGGACCTCTTTGAAGAAGGCCGGTCCCGCAGACAGGGTTGTTTTCGGTCGCGCCCGTACGGGGGGAGAGAGAGAGAGAGAGAGAGCGAGAGGGAGGTTTGAAGAACGCGCCCCGAGAGGGCCGTGCGCTATCTGCGCCATCGGGACGGTTTTACGGGGGGCGCGCGCGTGTGAAAACACCACCGGGGACCTCTCGGGAGAGAACAAACGAAACGCGACCTACACAGCCCCTCCAGACGTGTGCGGTTCAAGTGCCAGTGAAATGTTTTAGCGACGAAAGCTTTTGATGTTGCCACCAACATTTTATGTATTCTCAGCTCGACGCGTTTACGCGCAACGTACAAAAGCACTGCCGGTACGTGTACATCGGGTGGTGGGCGTGATTAACGGAATTACACACTTTCTTTGATTGAATTCCGTAAACGAAAAATAAACGTAAAAATAATAGAACCGCAGCTGCGCATACGACGTGTGTTTTACGGTTTACAATTTAACGCGTACGCTACGGCGCACGGTCGAGAGTTTATCGTCCATTGTACCGTATGCATTTCAGTCGATTAGATCGAACGGGATAATACAATATTCCCGAAACGAATGACGTACGAAGGTGGTGTAATTAATTATTATGTACGAGATATAATACGAGACTACGCGGCGGCGGCGATTCCGTATAAATCAATGAAATGTGTTTAGAAATTAATACCTATGCGCGTACGTCCGTACGGTGTATTGCTTTGTTCGTACTATCGATCACGTACAACAAAACAACTATTTATGGACACCTCCCAATAACGTACACACAGTCGAATAAAAAAAAAAAAAAACGAGTTCTCACCTTACGGCGAGCGCATTCGTAATGCGAATTACGTTTGATATTTTTTTAATATATCGCATATTTTCTAAACCACCTGTGCGTAGTATACCTTTATTCGCGCGTTATACCCGTGCGGGTTTTTTTTCCTGTCCGCGTACCGCGAACGTATTCCACTTTTATCACTCCGTTTCGTAATTAACCGTCTGCCGCACCGTCGCGGCTGTATTTTTATCTTATGTAACGATGTTTTTATACGACAATAAAAATACGTTTTATTACTATTACTATTTCTCTACACAGTAATGGATTTTTATCATTTATATACGTATAAGCGTATCGGAATAGTAGTCGTCCGTAAACAAGTGATAGTAAAATCGAGAAAGTCTCGAGTGTATTTTTTTATACACACTCGGAAGATTCTGTATAATGATCATGTCGAAGTTAAAGACTACACAGTACGTACAACGTCTGTAAATGTATTTTCGTGACATTATCAATCGTTTAGAACGGTTAACGGTTTTACGAAACGTATATAGGTAGTGTACTAGAATAATACGTTTGTATACATACGAGTTTGTTTAGTTGTGTCTATATTCATTAGCAGTAGCTGTACGTAATATATATATATATACACATATTTATCGACCAACTCGGCCGGTTAGTTATAAAAAAAAAAAAAATAATAAAACGGCGATTTTTTTTTTTCCAAACGTACGTCGTAAGTAAAATTCAAAACCGTACACGGAAACAATGCGTCCTGCATATTCTCGTTAAGAGAACGTTTCGTTTCGTTATCAACGAGGGGGAACAGAAGTAATATCCTGACGGCCGGTGGCGGTCACTTCGAGTCGTATACGCGATAATAGTACCTTGTGCGTTGCACACGTACGCGTGTGTGCCTACGCATCGTCCGGAATGAAAAAAAAAAATAATAATAATAATAAACGTACGTATGTAGAAAAAAAAAATCCGAAAAAAATTAGAAAACAGGTGAATCGCTGCACCGGGCCAGCCACAACCCGGAGAGGTAAGACGTACGCGCGCTTTGAGGCGCGCAGGTGAAGTCGGGAAAATTGTCACTAATGACGACTTACACGCGTACGCAGCACACACGCGCAAAAACACACTCGCACACTCGCACGCTTACATATCCAAAAACTTACGCGCGTGTGCGTCATAACAATGAAGAAGAAGCGACGGCGGCGACGACGTACGCACTACACACACACACACACACACACACACGACGCATCGATGCAAACGTGTGTACGTACGCACGTCTATATCCGTCGTTTGGTCTTTATTACGTGATAAATTTGCGATTCGAAGCGCGAACGAGGCGGCACACACACGGTACACGTCCAGAAGAAGACGTCAGTGTCATGCGCCACATATTAAAACACCGTTTATAACGCGCGCGATGTATAGAGCTGTATTATAATAATATTACGATGACGGTGTACACATCAAATATACACACATATATATATGTATAAATATGTACGTGTGTATACGTTAAACGTACGAAGGAGAAAAAAAAAAAAATAAAAAACTTCGAAAATAATTTATTAATGCGATGTGAAACCGCGTTCGCACCGTGGGTTTTACATCACGTCCGCCGTCGTTTCGGCTTGCGCTCGTACGGCGGTTACGCGCGTCGGTAGTGCACTACGAGAACACAATACGAGCGCGCTGCGACGGGAAAAATCTGCTCGCCACCGTCACGTGAAACACCGTTCCTCCGCTGTCAATATACTAATTGAGTCTTTGGACGCGCGCACCGGACGGGTGCTGCTGCCGATGCGTACGGAGCAGGAGCTACAGGGGGTAGGGAAGAGGAGGAGCCGAGGAAAGCGAGCAGGCACATGTAGCAGAGAGACGTATACGACGGGGAGAAAGACATTTTATGCTGGAAAGGAAATCAAAAAAAAAAAAAAAAAGAAAAAAAGGAGCGCACAGTTTTGACACGCACGCGTCACTCCCAGGTCCCGAGTCCATTAGTCAAATTAGCTACCGCCCGCCGTCGTTAGCCGCGCGCGTACGTAACGCCAACACTTGCCTCGGGTGCACGTGGAAAATAAAATAATAATACCGAAACCGAACCCGTAATATATCACACCCCGTGCGCCTGGTCCTACGACCGCGTGCAGCAGCCGCAGCAATAGCGCCCACGCGTGTGTACCCGCCGGACAGACTCGGCCGCGCGCGCGTAAGTAATAACATAATGCGTACGGTACGCGATTGCGTGCACGTGGAAAAACATCGTATATTTTAATAAATAATTTTTAATCGCGGTCTCCGCACGGCGACGGTTCTAACGTTTTCCGATGCGAAAACCGATAAACCGAATTTTTCCAGAAACAAAACAATACGAGACATAAATCTATTATGCGCTCGCGAGACGGTGGCAATTGGACATGTCTGGCGTTAAAAAAAAAAAAAAAAACAAAAAACAAGACGTAACGTACAATAGGTTTTATCGGGTTACCTAAACTCTCCATCCCCGCCGTGCCGTCAATTTAAACGACTTTAGCGATTCCATATATTATTTTATTTATAAACACACACACGCGCACACCGCATATGTTTATAGGAATTCGAATAGCTGTCAAACGGAGAATGATTCGAACTTCCTGAAGAATAATAATTTGTATTCCAAACGCCTATGCTCTTTTAGACGTACCACGTAAACCGGTTGTTATAATATACCCCTTACGATCATACATGTATACGATGCTGTGTGTAATATACCTACGAGTTTTTTATTTATTTTTTCTAATAATACAGCAGTTTTGTTTTTCCGTCTACAAGAGCATTAACTCGGGGCTGAGCAAAAAAAAAAAAAAACTGATGTCTAACGTGTA